TTCTTGCAAATACATCAACACAATTGAGCTGAAACCTTGCAGTCAGATTTGTGCATCTGCGTGAAGCAATTTCAAGAGCCTGTTATTCGCTACCTTCAACAAAATATACAGACTGAAAATTAGGAAGAGCTAAGCGACATATGGTATGCGAGTGGGCATGTAAGCGATATTCAAGCATTCGCCACATTGCCTCAGGAACACTTACATACCGGGCGTCAAGATAGCTTTTGATTTCATCATGCGCCCTGCTTTCCAAGGCTGATTCTCCAACAGTCACTTCCACCTCAGCCCTTCCGTGTCTCTTATATTAATATTTGAAAATATATTTTTGACACTTTTCACAGAGGCACAGACCTCAACATTAATGTGAGCATTGGGCCTAACCAGCAGATAGGGGTTATAGGGAACAACCCAGCGGTTATCTACCTGGTGAGTGCCCACAACTAATGTCTGGCCGTCATCTCGACGTCTGTAGCGAGGATATCCATTATTGTTGGCCTCAGTCAGCTGAAGGAATGATTTTGGGAAGTTTATAGTACACTTTCCATCAGACATACATGGTGAGCGGAGATTGAAGTTCCCACAAGAACCATGGATCATATGTTTACGATCCATGTCATACAGCTGAACCTGCATAGTAAGGCTTGTAATTTCAGCGCAAGCCAATCCATAAATGGCATCTCTGTCTCTAGGCTTGTCTTTTCTCTAAGCATAAACAGCATGTGGGCATGTGGTAAACCACGTTTTTGGAACTCGATAACATGAACCCGTGCAATGACCACTCCCAATACATGCTGATTAACACTCTCGTGCAGTAACTGCTGCAACTTAAGGTTGAAAACTCTAGCCACCAGATCTCATTAAAACTCACGATTTGTTATATATATATAAAACAGTACTAATTATATTGAAACGTTGATAGGGAGCGGACCGGGGTTACACAGGTATGCCAGGAAACCACCAAACACAGACACGGAGAACGCTTTAAGAGTGGTGACTCCTGGGAAAGACCCTTCACATAACCTATGGTCCCCCCTTATATGCAAACACGGCCACATTTGTCCAATGACGTGGGAGATCGGTTCACTTAACAAACAACATTCTTCCCTCCAAACACTGAGAAGCTTAAAGCTGCTTATGTTTGTCAAAATAACTTGACACATTTAGAATTCTTCTATAGATGACGGTTGAATAATTTCTTTAAAGGGCAGTGTATGTTTTCTATATAGTTTAAGTTTAACCAAGTAATATTTGTTTGTACAGAGTATGTGTGCAAGATCATAAAAAAAGGTGCTAACCAAAAGAATACTGAAGTTTTTGTTTATAGTTGATATATATAATATAGGCGATTCTTTTGTTTATTAATTTCTTGTAACTTATTAAAAGTAATGTTCAATTTATATATTTTTGGGGAAAACAGTTTCACTAAAAAGTTAAATAAAAGTCAACACTTATATTTGAATATATATATCTTGATAAAACTTTTTGAAAAAGTTTATTTATAGTGAACCTAGCAACAATAGAGCTCTCTATGAATAATTAAATGAATAGAATCTTTCTGAACCAGAGTTACTTAACAGCTAATTGATTCGTGACCTCAATTTTGGAATGCATATAGAAATATTGGAGAAGGCATGATCCCGAAAACCAGGATGAAGTTTTCAATATTTAGCTTACTATAATTATTGGCACTGGTATTAAGCTGCACTTTGAAGAGAGACCTAAGAAAATGATCAAGGCAACACTCAAGATACACAATCTGGTCGCTGATTTTAGAAACCACAATTTGAGAGCTCAAGTAATTGATAGAATAACACCATAGATACAAGATCTGGCCGCTGAGTTTAGAAGCCGCAAGGTGCTAAAGTTCAAGGAAATGATCAGTAAGACACCACAGCTACAAGATCTAGTGCTAAATTTAGATGACGTACGTTGCTAAAGTTAAAGGAATTGATCAATACAACAACACGGCTATAAGATCTGGACGTTAATTTAGAAGCCGCACGTTATTGAATATCAAGTAATGACCAAAACAGCATCATAGCTACAAGAACTGGCGCTGATTATAGAAACCGCACGTTGCCAAATTTAAAGAAATCGATCGAAATACCACCCTAGAACAATATCTAGCCACTGATTTTAATAGCCGGACGTTGATAAAGTTCAAGGAATTCATCAGTATGGAATCATGGTTACAAGCTCTAGTGCTCATTGTAGAATATTCACGTTGCTAAGGGCCAAAGAATTAACCAATACAGCCTCACTGGTGCTGATTGTAGAAGACAAACGTTGCTAAAGTTCAAAGAATTTTATCAATATAGCACCACACCTAAAAAATCTGGCCGCTGATTTTAGATGCCGAACGTTTCTAAAGTTCAATGAATTGATCAGTATTTCACCACAGCTACAAAATCTATTGCTAATTGTAGAAGCTCAACGCTGAAATAGCTCAAGGAGTTGATCAAATTAGAAGCACAGCTACAAGATCTGATCGCTGATTTTAAAAAGCGCACGTTGCTGAATTTCAAGGTAATTCATCAATACGGAATCGCAGTTACAAGTTCTGCTACTGATTGTAGAAGCCGCACGTTGCTAAGGATCAAGGAATTACCCAATACAGCATCACAGTTACAAGGTCTGGTGCTGATTGTAGAAGACGTACGTTCCTAAAGTTAAAGGAATTGATCAGTATATATCCAGAGTTACATGGTCTGACCGCTGATATTAGAAGCCTTACGTTACTAAGGCTCAATGAATAAATCATTAAGGCACCATAGCTACAATATCTAGTGCTCAATTTAGATGCCGTACGTTGCTAAAGTTCAAGGAATTGATCAATACAACAACACAGCTACAAGGTCTGATGTTGATTGTAGAAGCTGATCTTTGATACGGCTCAATGAATTGATCAATATGGCCCAGCAACTATAAGATCTAGTACAGTTTGTCAGATTCCGCACTTTGCTAAAGTTCAAGGAATGATTGATTGATCAATACCGCAACACATCTACAAGGTCTGGTGCGGATTGTAGAAGCTGCGCGTGGTAAATCTCAAGGAATTGATCAATTCGTTATCACAGCTCCAAGGTCTCTGGTGCAAATTGTTGAAGCTGCACATTACTAAGGCTCAAAGAATTGATCAATACGGCTCCACAACTATAGTGATGATTTTAGATGACGCACGTTGCTCAAGTTCAAGGAATTGATCAATACAACAACACAATTACAAGGTTTGGTGTTGATTGTAAAAAGCCTCACTTTGCTAAAGCTCAAGGAGTAGATAAATATAGAAACACAACTTCAAGGTCTGGTGTTTATTGTAAAAGCTGCACTTTGCCAAAGCTCGAGGAATTGATCAGTTCCTAATCACATCTGCAAGAAATGGTGTTGATTGTAGATGTCATGCATTGCTAAAATTCAAGGAATTGACCGGTATAGTACCACATCTACAAAATCTGGTGCTGATTGTAGTGCCGCTCGTTGCTAAAGTCGAGGAACTTATCAGTACGGCACTATAGCTACAAGGTGTGATCGTACTTGCTCAAGTTCAAGGAATTGTTCAGGGCGGCACCACGGCTGCAAGCTCTGAATAGAAATCGTTGGTTCATCTATATACAGGTAAGTACAAGTTAAGTGTTGTCACATAAGTTATCAAATGAATATATGTCGTTTAGACGAAATCGTCTTTAAGCATAATCACAATCTATCCATCTGTCTATAAAATTTCGTTTTCCTATTCACTATTATTTGAGGATAAAACATATAAAATATCTTTAAAATCTTTTTATAATCAATATTTGAAAACATCGTCATTTGTTGCTGATAGGTTTTTTTGATGGATGCATATTAGATCTTGAATTAGGTATATATTACTACCTTTTTTCCCTTATCCCTGGTACACATGGTACAGGCCATGATGATCATGGTGGGTAGAAAAAGGCGTCTGCTTTTACTGTAAGTGCACCACATGTCTACACATGTGAAAAACATTTAGAATTTGTACTTACAAACGTGCCAGAGCCCTGTTTGGTTACTTGCACTCGCTGGTGGTGTTGGATTTTTGCAAGAATCGGAGGTCATTGGAGCGTTTAGATAGCTCACCAACGACCCCCTGATCTGATGCTTGATTTCCTTAGTCTAATGGAAAATTTTCACGGCATAGGAATAGATCAATTTTATTACAGCAACCCATGAAATATTTCATCACATGTGGAGACGCCAGTTATGTAAATTTCACTCTTTTTTGCTTATTCAGCCAGAAGATTTACAAATTTGTAAATATAATTCTGTATATAAGGATGCGAAAATTTAATAAAGGTGTGTTAGTTATAAATCGGGTGTTGGTGAATTATTAGTGTCATCAGGGTAGCCTTTCTGGTGTTGTGGGCACTTTTAAGGAAGCATATAAGCTTCAATTTGGTTGGAGACCAGAAGAAGTCAGGCAAGAAGATACAGTCAAGCTCTGCCACAACTATTTAGATAAGGCCAGACATATCCAGGATGTGACAAGCTTTCCGAGCTTAGTAAGTGAGGCAGTGATCGCATCCAAAACAACATATATGATGATGGGATAATGATAATGCTCTTTATTATTATATACTCAACACACACAAACTTCCAACCCTCCATATTATCAATTTCAAAATAGTCTCTCAAGAATTATGATCATTTATTTAAATATATCAAAAAACTATAAACAGACTCCACAAGCATATCACACCGAAATAGATTCCATCCCATGAGGGCATTTCAGAAAATGAGCAAGCTGATACCCTTGCTAAACTAGGGGTAAAAAAAAGCTGTTCTTTCAAAAACCAACCTAAATGAAGGGAAAACCTAAAGGAAATATTGATGATATTTATAGATAGAGATTTAATTATATCTAAAAAAAGTGTTTTTTTTTTTCCACTTTTAATTCTAAGAATAATATTTTTGATTTTTCAGAAAACTATCTTCTTCTTATCTGCTATATTCTTTACATAATTGATAACAGTAACTATTTAAAACATCCTGGGATATTTTTCTCATCCACGGACCTCTGGGTTATGGGCCCAGCACGCTTCCACTGCGCCACTCTGCTCTAATACCTCTTTTAACCCAGGTTCGAATCCTGGTCACAGCACCTTTTTTCATTCTGGTTAGTAACCCCGTAAATAAAGATATTTCCATTTTTTCTCATTTAGCACTTTTGTCTGAAGATGGTTACAATGCTGTTACTGAAACCTCACACACTATTTATATATTTATTTGGATATGGTCTTATTACCTTTTGTTCATGAAAACGTATTGAAAGTAAATAGCCAAAGATTGATAAAATAAAAATATGGAACAAAGATTAAAAAGAAAAATTCCAGACTATATGAGACTGAATAGGAGAGACAGCATCATGTTCTTAAGATTAAGAAGATATCACCTCAAAACACTTCTCTTCAAAGTTGGAACAAAACTTTCAAAACTGTGTATCCTTGCCAACAATCCACACCACATTGGATCAACAGTCTAGGATTCCAAACTTTGACCTCTGTGTTAGACCTTTGGTGGCTCTAGAAGGAATGCACTATTATTATTATCCCTAGTACACGTGATACAGGCCATGATAATCATGGTAGGTAGAAGATGGTGACAGCTTTTACTGTAAGTGCACCACATGTCTACACATGTAAAAAGCAGTTCAACTTTGCACTTACAAATGTGCCAGAGCCCCATTAAGTTACTTGCACTCGCTGGTGGGGTTGGAATTTTTCAAGAATCAGTGCCAATTGGAGCATTATTTTTTAATTAGAAAAAAAGTACCCAATGCAGGATTCGATCACTGGTCATAGCAGTTGAATGCACTATATTCAGGAAGTGGTTTAGGATCACCCAAATAAAGAAGATGAAATTTTTGGTGAAATTAGTCCTCAAATTTAAAGAAGGCAATCTAGGAGACAGAGTCCATCTGGCCAGCTTCTCATTTCATTTTAATTTTCTATCTTTCTCTTCCTCCTCTTGAGATGTGAGGTACCTGGTCAATGTAAACACAGAAATAGAGAATTATGTTAGTTATTTAAGTAAACATGGTACCGGCTATTATAATAATGGCGGTTGGAGGTTTGTGATTTATTCCGACTATTGTGTTGTTGTTTCTTATCCTCTGTAAAGATTACGCAAATTCCATGAGTTCATGCTCCTCAAGCTGTTTTATGATAAGCAGCGGCCTCTCCCAAAGGTCCTGTTTTTAGTGCGTCTAATGTAAGCCAAGATGTGTTCTGGAGCTGAAGATGCCAAGCTACACTTTGGGCAAATGGGGTAGATTTTGTTATTATTTTTATATATTACTAGCCGAATGGCCCGGGCAACGCCCGGGTTTTACCCGACTGGACCCGGCTTCGCCTGAGTATTGTTCGAGCGAGGTTTACTCATGAATGAATAGAGGCCCCAACTGTTTGTAAACTCAATGTAATGAATTTTCTTTCAGCAAAATGGAGATAAATTGCAAACAGCAATATCGAAAATGCTTGTAAAAAAATCTGAAATATAGGATCCATTTCACAAACACATCTAATGAATAGAGTGCTGTTTGGAGGAGTGGTCTAAACTGTTAATTTTTAAAAACCATGACCCGGGGTCATCGAATGCAGATTCAGACACTTTGTTCTGAAAAAAAAAATTGCCCCAATGGCTCCTGATTCTTGAAAAAGTCCAACCCCTCCAGTGAGTGCAAGTAACCAAACTGGGCTTTTATTCTTAAAAATTAAAAAAAAAATCTAATGATTAGTGTGAATAAAGGAAAATGGTCGGCACAACCTGAAAATTTCACTTTGTCCACTTCACTCTCGGCTGTCCAAGAAGAAACAGCCAGAGCAAACATTTTAAAGGGCACCTAATCCGGCATTTACATATCTAAATAGTTAAGCAACTTTTATAAATGTAATATATTTCTGGACTTGGAAGAATTTTGTAGTTATTGTTGCAGTTTTAGAAAAGTGTGGGAAATTGGATATTTTAACAAAAGAATATAATTTTTAAAATGGTATATAAAATAAAAAGGAAATTTGCATAATTTTCTAATAGTCAAGGGCAATTGTAAAAATACCAAAAAAGCAAGACCAAATAAAAAAATATATATATATGGGTGATGTTTCAGTAACAGCATTGTTGCCATATAAAGACAAAATTACTGAATGTATTCAGTACCTTTGTCTGAAGATAGCCAAAATGTAACTGAAACCACACATAATGTAATTATTTGTATTCGGTCTTGCTTCCTTTTTTTTTTTTAATTATCCCTAGTACGCGTGGTGCAGGCCATGATAACCATGGTGGGTAGGTAGCGACTGCTTTTACTGTAAGCGCACCACATGTCTACAAATGTGATACATTGCTACCAGCTAAATGCATTTTCACTATGGTGTGATTTCCACATGATGGATCTGTAGACACATTATAATCTCTCCAGAGCTTAAGGTAGCAAACAGTACTTTCACATTATATAAATATCAATGCCAAAAGCCAGAGTTATGATAGCATGTTGCAGTGTAATGTAGACCTGCAGGATGGGAAAAAGCAATATTATTTCCGGCTTTAATTTGAAAAGTATTATGAAACGTTAAAAATATAATCTTAACTTTTGAAGCATGAAAAAATGCTAACTTTATGTGTAGCAATTTAGTCTAAAAACAAACAGCATGTAAAAGTAAGCACCAATCGAAAGCATTTATTAGCTCTAACAGTGCTGCCCCCAGCGGTAAAAGACTGGAGCTAACGCTTCACGGGTTGGTAAAGTTTCTGTTAATATTACATTAACTTAACAATATTCCATGTCTTGCTAACACAAATATTTAAAAAGAATATGCATAAAAATAATGTAATTATAAAAATCATAAATGAAGCATCATTAAATTAAATGGGAGAGAAATGGTGTTCTAAAATTTTTTTTTGTTGTAAAACTTTGACCTTTATATTTTTACAAATTCTTAATGTACATAACCCAAACCAAATTGTCTATAAAAATCTGCAAACAAATATAATATTATAGAGGCATGAAAATACTAATGGTGTAAAAATCAAAACAGCAAAGTTATCCTTATAAATGCAATGAGCTATGATAAGGTGTGTTGCAGGCTAACAAAAACCTTAATTGAACCAGAAATATTGATACCATAAAAAAAAAAAAAAAAATTCAAGAATAGAGTTATGTAAATGAATTAAATGTGAAAAAATTAAAATAAAATAAAGTAAAAAAAGCTTTATTGATGAAACTACAGTAGAGCAATAATGATAACAAATTATTTACAAATTATGTATTTACAAAAGTCAAGCTTCCCAAAAGCATTATTCGAAGAAATCTCTTTAAAAATTGTCAAAATCTAGATCAAAGCCCCCTGATAAACAATATTGCGTGTCTTGCTAAAAGTAGAACTAAAGACAAATAAATTTTTAGGGCTGGAAACACGGGAGCATGCTACATAGAGTTGCCCATGTGAGAAACAGGGAGACTCAAGATGCACACCAACTACTTGCAATGTTTGACCCTGAGATTTATTAATTGTCATAGCAAAGGCAACCATAACTGGGAATTGCAAGCGTCTAAACTTAAAAGGCAGATCATTTGGAATAATAGGTATTCTAGGAATAAGGACCTCTTCCCCTTGAAAAGAGCCAGTTAAAATTCGAGCCTGGAGAACATTAGTGCCCATTTGAGTGATGCATAATCTAGTGCCATTGCAGAGACGGGGTGGATCAAGGTTTCGTATTAAAATTACTGGCACACCAACTTTTAGTACAATTTTGTGTGAAGGTGTACCAGACAATTCTAGTGAATTTAAAAATTCAGGGGGATACGACACAGATTCATCAGGATCAACCATTGTATCAATTGATCTATAGATTTTGCTTTCACCCGGGATTGAATTTAATATTGTATTATTTATTTCTAGCACAGTATTATTTTTGGGGGCTAAAATAGTGCGGGCACATAACCATTCTTCAGATAAATAGTTTACACCTATATTAGGGAAAACTTTTTCATACAGACTTTCTGAAGATTCCACCACTTGGCAAAAAGTATTTGAAAACTGGATATTACCCTCGGAATCAGTTTCTAGTTGACCTTCTCCTATCTTTAAGAGTTCGTCTGCAAATTGTGCAGCAGTGGTATCATTATGGAGTTGAACTCTCATGTTGACTGTGAGGTGCATTTTCACAATATGGCTCCAAAGATAAGAAGACTTTAAACAGGCATTCAGCTCATCAGCAGGTGTACCTCTAGTGACTACTGGAAGAGTCTGTCGGAAATCACCGGCCAAAAGCACTACTAAACCACCCATGGGTTGTGGATCATCACGGATATCCTGTAATGTCCGATCAAGGGCTTCCAAGGCAATTTTATGGGCCATGGTGCACTCATCCCAAACCAGCAACTTACAGCTACGTAAGAGTGAAGCTTTATCACTATTTTTTCGTATATTGCAAACAGCAGTCTGGCCCTCTGCAAAAGTCAGAGGTAATTTCAGCACTGAATGTGCAGTTCTTCCACCCGCAAGCAATGTTGCAGCTATCCCTGAGGAAGCAACAGCAATGGCAATATTTTGTTCCTTCCTAACCATTGCTAATAGAAGATTCAAAAGAAATGTTTTACCTGTTCCCCCCGGCGCATCTAAAAATATAATTATGGGCTGTGACAAATTAATCTTTGCTAAGACAGCATCAAAAACTCTTCTTTGTTCTGGCAAGAGTTTGGGCAGCATGGATGCAACATTGTCTTCAAGTTCTGCCGTATCATACGCAAGTTCTCTCAAAATGTCAGAATTGGTAACCACATTTCTCCTGGGTGCTCCTAAGCCTAATTCCTGCAGTTTCTTCCCACATATAGATATGACACGATCCTCAATGTTACACAATGTTTCATTATATATAAGATCATTATACCTGATGGAGGAATCGAGAAGCTGATAACGATGAAGAATATCACTTGCCATCTCATCTCTATAGGTAATCCATAACTGCTGAGGGTTCGAAATTGTGCACGTAGAAATTAATATGGCAAACAATTGCCGTACTCTTGTAGGAGCCTGACAAAGAACGGCCTCATCCATTGTGACA